AATAGTGTGTGATCAATCTGACATAATGGGCTAAGAGACAATAAAACACCCCTTTTGTTAAAGAGAAGAACCCAGACAGGTTTATTTCTGTTGATTCATGCTGAGCTTTTTTTTTCTGCTTCCCATTATTGTCTTAGACTGTCTTTCACCTCTTTAATCAGGTATTAAGCCTATTTAATTCACTGTTTTTCTGCCTGCTGCACCTCTTGTCTCCCCTTCATCGCTCTGATGGGTGTTTAGATCACGCTGTTACTCCTCCTGCACACTCTGTTTCACTTTCTCTTTTTCTATCTCTGTCTCTCTGGTTGAGTTTCCAGGCAGACGGTTGGCACCCGAGAACAATCCTCAGACTGTAATGAGGGCTTTAGACTGACCAGCACACACACACGCACGCACACGCACACACTCTCTCCCATGCACAGGCCTGGTCTTGGCCCTGTCCTGCAGCTAGCACATTCCTTACCCTGCACTGCCTTAGTATTGCTGGCTAGTGAATCATTGCTCACTGCTACATCAGCTGTTCTTTAAAGACATCCTGGGGCTTTTTGTAGCTGTAGTGTGCAATAGCAACGAGGAACAAAAACTGTTGCTGTCGTGCAACAAAGCCTTAAACAAGGGATTTGGATGGCTGTAACAGCACCTTTCCATGCATAGCATTAGCCTACAGTAACCCATTAGTTCAACATGTTAGCTGTAGCTGACGAAGGAGGAGGAGTCAGTGTCGTCATTTGGTTAAAAGAAACGGCTCCACTATTATTAGGCTTCCTCTGAACATGTATTTATTTGGGCATGTTGTACAATTTGTTTTAAAACAAAGCAGAGATGAGTAACATCAACAACATCTCATAATCTCCCATAACTGTTTAAAAGAGAACATCCACAGAGATAATACAGATTTTATTTTCAAACTGATTTAAAATAACATTCATAAAAATGTTTTACTACTATACTGTGTTGCCAATAAGGGAAATACAGAAAGAAAACAATAACAAAAAAACCTCTTTATGACACTGAGATTTGAGAAAAAAATACATTTTTAGATGTATCATGTGCTATCCTGTTAATCAGCTTAGCCTATCAACTTTCTTTATTTCCGTAAGTAAATTGAATTTGTGGGAAAGCGAGAATTTAATGCAAGTATTTATTTTTGGCAACAGCTGAATGAATAACTAAGAAGCCTCCCCATTCTGCTGAAATGACTGTAATCTGATCCTTGACTGTGTATTGCGGAAACAGCAGCAACAACGTGTTCAATTTGGTACAGTCACTCATGTCTCCCTTATTAATTAATAAAGTTACTTTAGAGATTCTGTGACTTTTCATTGGTAAACATCATCAGGTCGAATCTTTATTTGTCCTTTTATCCTTTTATGTTTATGACTAAAAACTGACAACAGGCCCTTTGGCCTCAGCAGTAGTGCTAATTAGCTAATGTTAGCATGCTAACACACATTTTGGTAAACATGGTAAATGTTAAAATGATCATTGTGAGAATGTTAGCATTTGACTCTTAGCACTGCTGTGTCTCAGCACAGCCTCACAGAGCTGCTTGTGTACATATTTTCCCATAGTAAAATAAATATCAGGATGTAGAGTATGTGAGAATTTAAACATATCTAAAGACCACAGTGTGGCATGTTTCCCTCCCACCTTCCTCTCTCTGAACTCCATTACTGTCCTCCATCATCCCCTCTCCTCACACTTCTCTCCTGGCTCTTTATTTTCCCTCCGTCACCTATTCCCTCCCTCTGAGATCTACCGACTCCTGCAGAGACATGCTGCGTCATGGAAACGACCGGCTCTGTGTGTGTGTGTGTGTGTGTGTGTGTGTGTGTGTGTGTGTGTGTGTGTGTGTGTGTGTGTGTGTGTGTGTGGTGTGTGTGTGTGTGTGGTGTGTGTGTGTGTGTGTGTGTGTGTGTGTGTGTGTGTGTGGTGTGTGTGTGTGTGTGTGTGTGTGTGTGTGTGTGTGTGTGTGTGTGTGTGTGTGTGTGTGTGGTGTGTGTGTGTGTGTGTGTGTGTGTGTGTGTGTGAAGTATAGTTGATGTGAAAGCCACCCTAACAGCACCTCCTGCCGACCAGCTTGGCAGATCATTAAAAGCACTGAAGATTTACAGAGAGGCTGGAAAGATGGTAGAGGAATGAATAGACTCAAACCTGAAAAATATGCAAGCTCTTGTCAGTATTTCTCCTAATGTGCTTGTGTGCAAGTTATTTGTAACATAATCGGCATCTCTGCTTATATCATATTATGGGTTGTTCCCCAAAGTGACTATGACAAGGTTCTGGTTGCAGAGGTTAATAGTTGTTCCTTGCTAAGTATGAAAACTAAATTGCATCCATTCACTAGATCAGTGGTTCCCAACCTGGGGGGCGCGCCATGCCTCAGATGATTTGAGGCCTAATATCATATTTAGACTTTTTTGTTGTTGAATTTTTCCTCTTTTTTTTTTTACATATAATTGTCGCTAAAAGCCTTGTCTCTACATTACAATAAAGTATACAAAATAATTTATTCATTAATTTTAATAAAAATTCAAGTTAGTAGCTATTAAAGGCATAAAAAGACAGAAATGCATAATTTTTTTCTAGAAATGTTTCTTCTGCCCGTAAAGTGTCCAAACCAGGCTTTTCTGGATAAGCGCATTTTTAAAACATAGTCATTGTCCATGCCGGTTTCAGTTGGATTATTTGTCACAGTTGCTCCGATCAGATCGGTCTCCTCCATTTTGTAGATTATTTACGACTTTTGAATCTACATAAACACATCGGCAAAATCCGGCTTACTTTGAGCATGTGTTTTAAACAGTTTAATCCCTTTGTGAATTGTTTCCACTTGCGCCGTCCTTTAATTTCTTCATACAGCGGGAATCCAAATAAATTAATCCTGAGTCCAATAACCATCAAAGTCACTCCAATAGTGCTCCTTAATTACGCTTTCCTTTCCTTTAACAAAATACTTCACATTCATCCAGTTTGTGACAGTAGTTGTAGCATTTTGAGACTTTTAAACTTTAATTACCGCTGTTGCCTTGTCTGTTGCCCCCCTCACACCCCCTTGTGTGTGTGTTTGTGTATGTGTGGGGGGGGAGCAACTTCCAACAGGAGTAATTTGGGGGGGCTCTCGGGGAAAAAGGTTGGGAACCCCTGCACTAGATAATACCTCCTCTGCAGCCTAAGATCATTTTTGATTTAGCTGCAAATACAACAAGGAGCGTTTTACTTTGCACGCAGTTCTGTTTCTGATGGGTCTGAAATTGTTGAAAGTTGTTATCCTTCATCACAAAGACAGATTTATCAGCAGAGGAAATAAACATTTGATTGTTCTTTTTCTACATGGTTGTTGTTATGAGTTTCTGCAGGGTTCTTTTGTTGTTACAGGAATGGTTATTCTTAGAAATAGTAGAGTAGAATTCCAAAATTGCTATAATAAGTGGAAGTCTCGCTGTTATCATCCCATTTTCTGTAAAAATCCTCTTTCTAAGAAACTAGACACACAAATTCTCAACAAATCAGTGTTCATGTCTAATCTGTATCTATCTGGGGTTCCAGCGCTAACATTTTTTGACAGTTATGTTATCTATAAAGGAACAAAACATGGCACACTACCAACTCAGTGGGTTTGTTGCTAGCTAGCTAACATTAAATATTGATTTTCTCTTCTTTTCAGCAATGAGTAAAAGGTTTAGGTTGTATTGGCTACATACCAAACACGTAATCTATATGCAACATTTTTTTTTTATATAAAAAAAAATTTACTTAAAATTGTCAAAAGCTAAGCATAAATACATTTGGCAAAACTTGTGATCCATACTGAATTCGGATTCAATTAGATAACACCAGAAGGTAGAGGAGTGAAAGCACCCCCCCCCCATTCTCTGTTCTCCCTAAGCCTAAGAGTCTTCACTGAATTGTGTATGAGAAATTGCCACAGAAAGACATGCTTTTGCTTTTGCAGCCCACATTGATAGATAGGAGCCTTAAAAATCTCCTAATTATACATACAAACACACACATACATACACACACACACACACACAAACACACACATACATACACACACACACACACACACACACACACAAACACACACATACATACACACACACACACACACACATACATACACACACACACACACACACACACACACAGTGGTGGGAAGGATACAGGAAACAGGATTTCTGTTGTAAATGTTTGTATGGTTCATATCTTCATTATTGAGGAGGAAGCAACAGAAAGAGCTTGTTTGGATTTTGAGCTTTGTCCTTTCTCTTTCTGACAGACTTTGACAGTTTCTGTGTTTCTACTTATACTGTAAATTGAATGAGGCCAAATAAGATCTAGAGTTGCTATGTAAGAGATTAACATCAATTAAGAGATGTTGCATAACATTTTCAATTATATTCATTTTGAGGTGTTGGTATAGTTACCATAAACAAATCGTTTACTTATTGTGTGATTAACCTAATCAAGATTGAGGAACAGGTTATTTTTGTTTTATCTCTCTGCTAAACATCAGCTGTTTGCCTGTTTGTATGCTATATTGACTTAATCCGCATTTAAATATGTCATCATCTTTTTTGGCAAGGAGACCCACAAGGTTGTGTACGCCTATCAACTGCATAATTCAGATTCATGCTTTGAATGTTAAATGTTTTCGTAAAATCATCCAAATTGAGTCTTTATCATTTAAAATGGGTCAATGTGTTACAATTAATAGTCAAGCTAATGCTGTACACACACGCTGAGTGGGATTTAGGGCTTTGCTTTGCAGGTGCTGTTATATGCTTTTTACTTCTTGACGTCATTTGAGAGCCAATTCCTTTCCACTCAGATGTCTTTTGTTGTGTTTTTTTATTAGAAATGTTCAATTCCCCTCACCTGTCTACTTTGTCTTTCTCCACCTTCTCTCCCCTTCATCCATACCAATTCTCTCATGCCTCTGTCTTGCTATCATCCCTCGCTTCCTCCTCTCTCCCTGCTCATGTCCCACCCCTCAGGTTTGTCGAAGTCCTTCCCGTTGGACAACTCTTTGTTTGACAGCTGGCTCGCCCAGTCGGTTCAGATCACGGCTGACGACATGCTGAGTCAGTGGGCTCTGGGCTCCCAGCACCGGGACAAGAGCGGCAGCCTGCTCTCCGACCAGGTAGACCCTCAACAGCAGGAATGACGTCTCGGCTGTTTCTGAGTTGACTTTAATGTTATGATTTCTGATACATACATTAGATGCTACTGTGATAATGCAGCAATGTAAGTTTTTAATTGATTTGATACAACTAAAAGTGATCTGCAAGCTAAACATAATTTCAGCACCACTTCACAGATCACACTAGTGGAAGAAGGAGCATGATTAAATTAGACAGGCAAATTCGTTTTTGTATTATTTAGAGCTGCACAATATGAGAGAAATATGTTATAGGTGATCACTTTTTTGAATATAGCAAATGCGATATTACTTCTGATAAATACAAACCGATATATTTCTATAATATGTAGTCAGTTCTGTCTTTCTGCTGTTGTCGGTATACTGCTTATTAAATACAACAAGTAGCTTGTTAAATAAAAGACATGAATTAACATTAACTAGAAAATGACACTAGATACAGTAGTCACCTTATAAAATGAAAATCTCTATTGATACTATTTTAGTTTTTGCAGTTTTGCAATATTGCAGTCTTGCGTGATGACATTAAAAAGTGATACATTGTGCAGCCCTACTATTGATCAAAGTGCATAATCCAGATATGTCATAAACATTTTGTGTCCAACGTGTATTTATTGCACCTTAAAACATGATTCAGCCTTTTTCATCCCTTCTTTTCTAATTGACATTCCCTGGATCTCCTTTTGATTCATATCCTGTCATCCCCCATCTCCTATTTATTTCCAATCCCCTGTTTTTTCTCACTTCCTCTCTTCTTCCCCTGTCTTCCAGCTCCTGCAGGGTGAGGAGAGCCTGCTCAATCTCATGATGGATAACTCCATGCAGTCCACCTGGAAAACACCTCAGCTGGGCCGAAAACCACGAGGGAGCAACAAGCCCCGTACTCGCGGTGCCCCTCCACAATCCCCCAGCCCCATCCTGCCCCAGACGCTCCTCTCTGCAGCGGCCCCCTCCTCTGCAGTATCCCCCTCCTCTGCAGCAGCCCCCTCCTCTGCAGCAGCCCCCTCCTCTGCAGCAGCCCCCTCCTCTGCAGCGGCCCCCTCCTCCGCCAGCAGCCCCTCCACAGCAAAGAGCCTCTGGGCAAGCATGGCAGAGGAGAAGCCCATCCATGTGGGCCGCAAAGGGGAGAGGTCCGGGGGCTCCTCGCGGCACCATCTCTACGTTCACCCCCACCAGACAAGGAGCTCCGACCCGCCGCCGCAGCCCCCCGTCTCCAAGATGGATTCCTGTCACATCTCGGAGGAGCGCAGCCCGTGGAACAGCGTCTACACGGGGAATGGCGTCGCATCCTCGTCCCCACGCCCAGGCTCCAGCCCCGGGGCCACGTTGCCCGACACAGGGGCGATCATTCGTGGCAGGGGTCCACGGCTCCGCCTCTCCCGCCAGGTGAAATCCAGAGGGAGGGGCTTCACTGGAGGTATAGCAGGTCTGGAGTCTGTTGGGATGCCGCTCACAGGAAAGGACGCTTCGATGCTGGACGCTGTGGAGACCGACGGCTACTTCTCTGACGGCGAGCAGAGCGATTCTGACACGCGCTCGGGCGGACGCAAACTCCGCTTGCCGCAGTTGCATTCTGGGAAAGAGGACCTGCTGAGAAGGAGCGTGCTGGCCTCCTAAAGAACTGAGCTAGCGAATTGTATCTCCATCTGTGCCCAATATACAGTCCACAAAACATGGCTGGATGGCTTTGTTCAACCAAATCCTGTCACGTCTACTTGTGGAAAATCTCTTCAGCTCTCGACTGCTTTGTTTTCGGGGGGGACTTTGAATGTAGCTGTTTGCCTATCGTACAGTTAAGCAACTCCACCGGACTGTAGTTTGTCGTCAGCCTATTACAAGATGTGATACATTTAACGAATAGGAAACAAACATTTCATTTAGACTTTGTTTAAATTTCAGATTCATTTTGATTCTGGGCGTTGAAGTACCCTTTTTTGGCCCTCATGTCTGTGGTATCTGCCAGACTTGGGAACAAACGCTTTGGGGCATTATTATTATTATTTGTATTAATATTATTCAAGCTGGTTTCAGGGTCTGCTCCGCTCTTGGTCTTTATGGCCTGAGATGCATCCAATGAGTCCTTGTTTTCTTGAATCTGTTCAGTGGAAAGACAATTTCACTCCAGAGCTAATCTGAATATGTACAGGTAGTGACATGGGATAACATGTATTCAGCCTTGAAAAGCACAACTAGCTAGTCATAAGAGCTGTAATGTAAGCACTCGTGTGTATAATAGATGCTCAGTCAGGGTTGGGTTCAATTCTCATAATGTTTACCCGGTTTGCAAAATGTACACTAAAGCCTACATTCTTCAATTTATCTTCTCAGATTTCCAGCTTTTCACATTTTTAGATAGCAAAAAGATTGACCCCAACCCTGGAGCTCATTCAGATTGTCACACAGAGACACAAACACACAAACATACTGACACACATAATAAGCAAATCCCTTTGCTCACATCACAGCCGAAATGGAAATATATTTGATCTGACTTTTGTCAGCTGCTTTCAAATTCTTCCTAGTTTTGAGTTCATTTTTTTATCAAGCCGGAATCCTTGGAGAGAAATCATCGTAGAAACTCTGTGCCTTCTGTCGCTTGCCCTGTGCCCCCTCACCTCGACCCAAAAACGTATACAAAAAACAAAACAATCAGTAAGTAGATCAATCAGTCGTTCATCAATCGGATTTGTAACAATCAAACCAAAAGGAAATCCCGTTGGATTGGTTACCGAGTGTAGCCAGTGCTGGGCTCCTTGTCTCCTTAATTGTCTAGTGCCTGAAACAAGGATGTAAATGCAGCATTCACCATCAATCAGCAAAGTATCTGCAACAGTTAGCAAAGCAGAGCCACAGCGCAGAGAGCTGCCTACTGTTCTGTGCCCCCCCCCCCCCCCCCCCCCCCCCCCCCCCCCCCCCCCCCACAGCTAGATCACTGCAGCCCAGAACCATCGATACACTGTTTGGCCAGGTTACACTGTGAGCACCAGAGAGCTGAGTAAAACTATAGATACACATGGAAAATGGGAAAACATATTAAATAAAACTTTAACCTGTCGGCAAGTCCCGTTGAAGATTAGTCATTTAGATTAGTGGCAACAAACACTGATTGGACATTTTGGTATTTTTTGTTGCCTGCTCCAATCAATACAAAAGAAGATGTACCGCCAACTATTTTGATAATCAATCAAGTTTTTTTTCTATGCAAAAATACTGTTTCAGCCCTTCAAATATGAAGATTTTCTTAGTCTATATTTAACTAAATATTTGTTTGTTTTGGACTTAAAAACAAAGCATATTACCAAGTTAATACCACATCCATGTGTATCTATGCAGTTTTATTTAGCAGTGTAGTGAATGAAAAGTAATTGTTTAATGTGGCCAAGCTCTAGTCTCTGATGGCTCTGCTGCACACGTTCTCCTTTTAGAAGAATGATGACAATGTAAAAACCAGCTTCAGAGGCCTGCGCTCTTAAGTTCTTAATTTGAGTTGTTTGTATTACTTTTTAAAAAAATACTTTTGTTGTTATCGCAGAGAGTTGTATTTTGTACTTAAAGCAGTCCATGGTATTCTCAGGGGTTAAGAAAAAACGTTTAAAAAAAGAATAAAAGGTTTAAAAATGTATCGAAAAGAAGCGTAAGACAGAGAGATATATATATATATATATACATACCGGTACATATATATATACATATACATATTTTATATCGTATACAGTATATACATATATATAAAGTAATGTGTGTATGTCTAGAAACGTCCTTATTTGGCAAGCTTCACTGTTTGAACTCCTACACGAATACTACTGAGAATGTTCCTTTTCTCAGTACGGCCATCAGCCCTGGGTTCAACCAATAACTAAATTGTATTTCTTTGAATAACAGGCGAGGGGGCAGGTCAGACAATAGCGAACTATAATAGCTCTGTGGTCAACGACAAAAAGGGATTTTATTTTCATTTATTAAGTAGTTAATACCTATCACAAGTGATTTTTAAGGGCTGCTTAACCCAGGTCTGATGAACAGATACTTAAATGGAGGTGCAAGTCCAATCTACTTCCTCTGTTTTTTTTTCGCTTTTACCTTCTAGCCTGTCTTCGGAAGTGACCACGCCAAATAACAGATCTGTGTATCAAGGCCACATATTTACATATTTTATCTACACAAACACACATACACGTCTCTGGTTTTCAAGATGAACAATTTTAGATAAGGATGTCAAACAATTCTGGCTGCAGCTAAGTAAAATCTCAACCCAGCTCGATCAGTTAGAAAACGCTGCAAGCTCCAGACGGACGCAGCTATATTCACAACACCAACAAACCCAACCGGGATTCCTCCACATCTGCATTTACAGGACTTCCCTTAGGAAAAGCTTGGCGAGGGTTGTTAAATGCAGACTCGCACATTTAAACCCTATTCAGAAAAAGCCCAATGCTGCTGAACTGAATTCTCAACAAACAGCTCACATATACAGACACACACATATAATACACACCAGAGCTGGTATAACAGGGTTAAAATATACAAGATGACTAGTTTTTTATGTATATGTGATCCTGTCTGCATCAGGAAGTATGAGCTTACTCAGAGAGAAATGCCCCCTCTCAGCAGGAGAGTATTAGTACTGGTGTCTCCTTCAGATGTAGCCATCGTAGAAGATTCATGTTGTTAATCCTCCACTCTCGGCTGTTTTTCAACAAAGAAAAGTGGGGAAAAAACCTTTTGGAAGCGTTTGTTGGAGTATTTTAAACTTCTACTTTGGCTACTGTTATTACAATCCCCATGATAACGGACTGCAACAACACATAAAACAACAATAACCGCGAAAAAAGTTAGTATTTTGAAGCAAGGATGTGGTGGCGCATTGTCATTACGACCCGCAGAATCCTCCACCGGGTGGTTGCAACCATCCATCGGTTGCTAAAACAGAAACATGTAATCTTGGTTTCAATATTCAGTGTTCAGAGTAGCCTGACTTTGTAGACAGTGGTATTAGACAAGGCCTCACATATGGCCTTAACATGTAGTAGCAAATGCTAAGGCTGCATAGCGTTCGCAGGAATAAAAATTCTAAACATTTTGGCTGAATGTCCTCTACAGAACATGTGGAGGTGAGTAAAATGTGCTGCTTCTAAAGATGATCTCCTGTTTGAAAATCAGATTTGAACCTCAGAATGTACCTTGTTTGGAAAATTGCAGTTTAGTTTAGTTTTTATTCCTGGATACTGAGCAGCCTTGGCAAACAAACTGGTTATTATTCTGTATTTACAGTGTGGCTTCGATGCCATCTCCTTCCGCTGCATAGATACTGTAGACTGGAGCTTTTTGCAGGTTTTATTTTTTATCAATATCCTCTTAGAAAACAACTTCAAACCATCACTGTCCTCTGTGTGGTACGCTGGTGTGGGCGTTGGCTTGCAGCCCGAAAAGTGCTCTGATGATCTTTGAATTTTGCAACTCTGTCAGGTCGGATATCCAGATTGTATTTGTCTTTCCTTTCTGGGTTTAATCTGTAATATATACATGCTGTTGAAATGTTCAGAGTGAAGCATCAGTGTCAGTATCAGCGGGAGATCTGCACTGCAGGAATAATGATGGTTATGTTCCTCTGTGAAAGCTGACCATTTAGAGTGCATGACATTATGCATAATGAATACATATACAACTATACCGTTTTCTAAATGGTAAGCTGCTGCGAGTGTGAAGGCAGAACCTTATCCCTGCAGGAGTTGGCATGAACGCTACACTTGAGAAATAAGCCTGTGGGCATCGTTCATGAAATGGCAGGTGTAAAACACACCTACACACAGTGATGAACTCCATCTAGCCTTCTACTGAAAACCTGCTTAAAGGCCAGCTGATTGCTGAAGGTGATTGGAAGCTCGCATATAATTCAAAGAGCTGCTGTCTTCTGTACCGACACTGTTGTTAAACTTCTGAGAAAGAAATCACTGCACCAACAGGGCCGGGCTCCTCAGAACTTCCTCAGCAGAGCAAAGGTCATGTTTAAAGCTTATTTATAAGTAGGGCAAGCTAGGACCATCCAGCAACAAAACAGCTGTAACATTAGTACGAACTAATGTATGCAACAACACCATCTGTTTGATTTGAACAGGGAGAAAAGGAGAAAACCTGTGAATCTTATATTTGCATCTTCTCAGTGGAAACATCATTTTAAGACCAAATCTGATGGTTGCTCTGAGGTGGTTTTGAGGAGCCAGAAGGGTACCATGATGCTGTCGTGAGGAAGACTCTTGTCCTCTGTGGTTGCTCCTTCTTCCAAAAAGAAAGTGGTTTGAGGCAGTCTGTAGGTCAGTAAAATCAGGAATGGACTCTTTAGTGGTAATAAATGTAATTTGAGGCCTCAGCAAATTGTTTTTCTCTGAAGGGAACATTCGGTTTTGTCTATAAAATGAATCAAATTGACAAGGAACACTGTTTAATCCTCTTTTTTTTTAAACAGACTGTTTGTAATACAATTGTCTTGTCCTTGTTTTATTGTCCTACGGCAGCCATGAACCCCCCCCACCTGCGTACCACTGGAGTTTATACACATTTACAATAATGTATAATACTGTTCAACTACTTCTACTATTACTACTAGAGAAATTTCATTTCCTTTGTTTTGAAAAAGACTTTGGAAGCTTTTTTTTTTGTAATGCTTTAGCTGGCCGCTGTGGCTCGTATCAAATTTAGAAAGCTGACTCATTATCTGCTCGCTCTGTTTTTACTGGCGCTTTGCTCTCCTCTCCGTTACAGCAAAGTTATGGCTTCAAGGTCAACATCTACAACCCAGACACATTGCACAGATGGGAGGTTTAGTCATTCAGAGCCACTGTGGAGTCTAAAGCAAGCTCGGTTTTCAAGTTAAGCCTAAATTGGCGGAGTCAAAGAACCACAGTGATTTGAGTCAGAGCGCCTTTTCTCATTCATTCAAGACCAACAAAACAAAATGAATTGCCATATGTGAGGAAATGCCTGGGCCATGTGTTATGACGAATACAAATCATTTTTTCTTGTCATCTTGAGCAACCAAGATTATTGTTAAAAGAACTCTTGTGTTGGTTCCAAAAAAAAAAGTGTTTTTAAAGTGAAATGGTACTTTCTGACTCCAACTTCTCATATGCAAGGATGTGATCCTGCAATAATCAGTAAAACATCTTTGGGTTTTGTACTATTTGTTGGACATAAGATATTTGAAGACACCACCGTTAATGTTGAGAAACATTCTCTCTTAGCCTGGCTTTGTTTTTGTCTAACCAACCTTTCAAAATCCCATAATGTTCACTTAAGAATGATAAAAAAAACACATTGAAGTAACACATTTGAGAATCCAAAACCAGGGAATATGTTCGCTCTGCTTGGGTTACTGTAAATCATATATCAAAATTGGAGAGACAACTTAATCTATTAACTGTCTTATCAATGAATTCAAGTATTATGTAACATGACTCATTCCTGAGAAGTTATAGTTGTATATATCACTACAATCTGCAAAAAAACACCAATCAG